AAACTAAAAACAAACTAAAAACTACTTCCAAAAACATTCAGCTTTGATATTAATGAGTTTTTTGGGTTCATTGAGAACATGGTTGTTGTTCAATAATGAAATTATTCCTCAAAAATACAACTTGCCTAATAATTCTGCACTCCCTGTATATAGCACCAAATCACAACAGTATTCACTTTAAGGTGTTCTATATATTAAGGTAAATACTCTACAATTATACAGAGAAAACCCCAACAATAAGATGAGAAAGCAAAAAAAGTAAGCAAGCACTTGGCGACAGTGTGAAGGAAAAACTCCGTTTTACCAGGATGCTATTGCAACCTGATCTTGATTTCATGCAACGATCTTTCATCACTACTCACAGCAGTACCCAAATACTTGAATTTGTTGATGTAGGCTGGGATTCTTTGATTTCTTTCCTTTTTAAAGAAAAGTCAATCAAACTCCATCTTTAAAACTGCATTATTGTACCTACATTTTAATCAGCCCAGTCCTTCCTGGCCACTTAAAATATATTTATAGAACTATTATCCTATATTTGTTGCAGTTTCTGCTGCCTTCTTGTCCTGATCACTCTTTAAAAAAGAGATTTTTAGCAGGATAAAAAAAAAGATATATATGAAACCTACTTCGCCACAAAATGATTGCACCTTCTTCTTTGTACGGGTAGTGTTGTTTGTGGCTCAAAATGACGCCATATCATTCATGAGAGATAAGTTTCACAGATTATATATTTGGCGGTTACTTCGGCTGTTGGTTTTAATTTATTTGGGAATCAAAAATCTGCGTTGAAAAGTTAACAGCGAGCGTGTGTCTGCTGCAAATAAAGGTTAAAAAAAGTGAGAGCATAATATGGAAAGGTTTGTTCTTAATTGGCTTACTTTAATTACAAGCGGCATGAAAGCAAAAAATAAAAACAATAATGCATTGGACTCGAGAAATTGATAAAAAAAATTGTGTTATTTTTGGTGAATATTGAGGCAAATTAGTTACTCTGGCAATTAGCCATTTCCTGCAAAGCAGCAATCAAACACAGGCCTGCTGTTCGGTTAATATCTCCCCTGCGCCATCAACAAATAATCACCTCACTAGCTGCAAATATCGGAGACGTTTTATATCAATCAGCTGTTTGTCGCGCTGATTGCCGCGCGCAAAGCTCGGTTGTAGCGCAGACTGTGCGCAGAAGCACCAGCCGGTCTCTGCGCCACTGAGACGCTCTCTCTCCCCTCCTCCTCCACCTCGTCAACGGCAACAGCCATCTGCCGCCTCTTTTAATTTCAAACCCAGCAGATTTTCCCACAAACGTCCAGCTTCACATGACAGAACACAAACTGCGTTTGACGCTGTGGAGGACAGCTCGCTCTCCGCACGTATTGCGCTGGAGCAGGAAGACAGCCGGGGCACATTTCGCACACGACACTCCGTCTGCAGAGACAGGCTGTGGGAAAGACGAAGCGGATTTGAATTAAGCACCGGATAACAGACAGCAACTCTGCGTCCTTCGGTGAGGGAGGGAGAGGAGGGAGGCAACTGTTTTGTAGCTATCTTGGAAGCCCTGGGTTAGGAGAGGGGGGAGGAGGAGCGGAGAATGAGCTATTCTTGCACCAGCAGAGGCAACAGCCAGGACCCATCAAGCGCTAAGAAGCCCGCCGGTAGTAATCCAGCCAGAGACGCCGGAGGCACCGACAGCGGCACAGACAGCACCAGTAACGGCAGCCCCAAGCAGACGGCGGCGATGAAAGTGAAGAAAGGCTGCAACTCGACCGACGTGGGGGTCCCGGTGACCACCGAGGAGCAACTGCTCGCCAGCACTGTGATCACTCCGGAGGATGTTCTTGGCTTGCAGAAGATCACAGAGAGTAAGTTCAGTGCTGTTGCTGCTGCTGCTTGTGTTGGTAGGTGAGTGGGAAAGGGGGGACAAAGGTGCTCTTGTATGAGTCATGCATCACGTCATTATCGTGTCCCCTTATTTATGTAATCCATACAGGCCCTATTGAATAAGCGTTATTGATAAAGCGTCACTGGAGGTCCACTCTCCACTGAGCTGCTGGTGTACGTTTTTTGACAATTTGTGCGCAGAGGAGCATTCAGCTCTCTCTGATGGCATCTCAGTCCTGCGACCTGTGGAGGTGCAAGCCCACCACTGTAATGTGGAGGTTAAGCAGTGGAGGTGGGTGAATGATGTGGTGCATGCAGACAGCGTGCAAGTGAAGATGTTGAACCGGGATCAAAAGAAAGACTGGACGACCCACTCTGCATTTTAATCTCTGTTAAATTAAGCAGGGCGTCTTAGCTGGAGACGTTTGGGTGACCCAGGGGTCATCATTCAAAGCAGTCTGTGTGGTTCCTCTGCTTCAGTAAACATGTAAATAAAACAGGAGGCAAAGAAAAAATATCCCATGCCAGTGTACAAGTTGCAAAATGTGAATATGCTATAACAAACAAGCTTAAAAAGAAGTATGAAAACTATATAAATACACTTGTTATAATAAGCTATCCCTGTTGCTAGCACTGTAATGAGTGTGTGCAGGCAGTATTTTGCTGTTTAAGCTGAAGCCAGTTTATAAATGCAGGAAACATCATGATCGACTCTCTGTAGTCACATTCGCCTACTGTTAGATGTTAGTCTCTTTAGGTACTTTTAAACTCATGTGCTTGTTCCTTTTCATAACCTTCTGATGAGAAATCTGCTTATGACATTAGCCTATTACTTAATGCATCTGTTTTTTTTTAAATTATGTCACACCTCTAAACATCCGAGAAGCAGGCAGGAAGCTCTTATGTTCACAAGAACTCCTACATTTATTATTAGTTAGCTAACAGGTGGCAGCGGGACGTTTGACTATTTGAAGGCCAGTGTAATACCTCACTTACACAACATACTTGCATTACATACTGAGTGTGATAACATGCAAATGCTCTGTGGGATGTTTTCACTGCTATTTTGAAACTTGCATGGGGATTTTTAGGCTCACCTCTGCATGTTCAGTTCTTCTCTATTTCTCTGAAAGCTTTCATTTCACATGCACCCGTGAGATGCCACAAGCAATACAGTGAGCGCTTGTCATTCCACTTCTCTCAAAAATATTCCTACAGCGGAGGAACCTCCACCTGTCTTCATTCCCTGCTTTACTTTTCCTTATTTTCTTGTTTCGCATGAGATTAACAGAGGACGATAAAGCTGTAATGATGAATGGGTCTTTGCTTGTCCAATCCAATATAATCACAGCTTACTGAGCTTTGGGAACATCCTTTGGCTCATCTTGCTCACAGCCATCGAAAACTCTAGTAGTTTCTCTAATTGTCCATTATGCAGTCTATTATTAGACACACACTAGGGTAATTTCAGCTTTGTTTTGATTTCATCGAGAACACGTGTGCGCATCTTTGTGTTTTTAATCGGCAAGTCTGTGATCCCATAAGTGAGTGTGTGATGTGTTGCTGCACAGGGACACGTAGGCGAGCACCATAATGATTCTGACTCCCACGCCGGACCCCGTTATGGTCTTGGAAACTCACTTTCCTATCTCGCAGCGTCATAGCTGGAGGCAAGAGGAGGCATGTGTGAATCACCACAGCAACGTGGATACACGCTTGAGTCACTACAGCAACGTGAAGCATCTCCCCTTGGTTACAGCCAGTGGAGCGTGCATCATCTCTGTTCTCCCACACACTTCCTCCTTGCTCTCCTCGCCTCCTCTCCCATGTTAAACAGTGTAGGTGATGGATTGTGCGGACAGAATTGGATATGCGTACACTCACGCTTGCTTGGCCTCGTTTTTGGTGGTCAAACCAAGCAGGAGACATCCTGTGCTCTCCTGAGATGTCAGAGCCACCGAGGCCCTTCTGTTGTTTTGTGACTTGTCACTATTTTTTTCTGCTGCTGCAGATTGTTAGTGGCTGAAATTGAGTCCCTCTCTAAGTGGCAAGCCAGATTTAACAACAGTCTTGAGTTAAAGAGGTTTTTGTTGTTCTTGTTGTTATTGAGTGGTTTGAACCTGTTTGGAGCTCTGACATCCCACGAGGGGAAACTTCAGTTTGTAGCTTTTTTTTTTGCAGCGTAAAGATGTCACTAATCGTTTTGCCCTCCATTCATAATCAAAGCAAGCTGCTGAGACTGATTGGGATTTGCATAGATAGAACGGGCTTTCTACCCAGTTGACTGATTTGATCCTGATTTTGTTCTTAACCGAATCCTAAACTTAATCTGTCGAGTCAGCATGGAGCCTCAGAGCGGTAAGAAAGGCCCCCCTGCTGACATTGTGATTGTGTTTTGTGTCTCATGGGGAAGCAGCTAACTGCTATTTCTGTTGTTTTGTTTAGCTCTGAAAACAATTGAAAAAACACATCATTTTGCAGCAAACATACTGAAAAACTGCCCAGTATTCTCTTTCCCAGCTTCTTATATGAGAGGATTTGCTGCATTTCTTTGTATATCATTGGGAATCAAAATGCTGTATTTCTTAATTATTATTTTTGCAGTGTAAAAAAAGGGAGAGAGAATATACATTCCTTAAATTGTCAGTTATTAAGTGATGAAACTTCTTATTGGAACTTAATAAGAAGTTAATAAGTTCTATAAAATGTTGCAGCCACCAACATACAGTTTTTGGCACTTCTGTGACGACACTGCATACAAAAAAACAGTTTATCAAAGTAACCCAGAACCCAAAGTCACAAAGAAAGGCAGCAAGTTGTTATTGCACAGAAGCAGCAACTGCATAACGTTACAGTTTATTAAATCTAGTACACACCCATGCCATGTCTGTGGTTGCCAGGCAACACAGATAGTGTCACACATAAAGAAAGTTAAATTAAAATTGTGCTTTTGTAATGTGTTATAGGTGCTTTAATGCTACAAGTGCGACCACATATTAACAGGCTAATGTTATTATGTGGTTGCTAGGCGATACAGTTATGTCAAATACGTCACGCGCATTGAAAGTTTTGTGTATATAAAGAAGTTGTTACTGTTGTGAAATTAAAAAGACACTGGTGTTGAAGGTGCATAAACTTTGGTTGCTAGACAACCACCATATTTGATATAGATAAGAACCCTGAGAGGCCTGAGGTATATCTGCTGTATTTTTCCAACATAATTAAGTGTTTGTTGATGCAATTATTGAAACTTCACACTAATTGTTTTGGCTGTTACAAAAGTATTAAACTTTGAGTTTTAAGTTTATGGACTGCTTCAGTTTGGTGAGTGCAAACAATGTAGTGGAAAAACTTCCTAAATAGCTGCAGAAATGTCTTCACTTATTTTAATTTCTTTTTGGTTATTAGATGACGTGGATGATACTAAACAACATAAACCAGTCATGCCGACTGGAGTGAGTATTTGCTTTGAGTTTAGCAGTGGCAGTGTGACCGTGCAGAGCATTAGTTCAGTGCGGATAAGCTTGTTTTAGCTGATTGGCATCAGCTGTTTCACATTTGGGCAGCTCAATAGCACAGGCATTAAAACACTGACACCATTGTTACTCCGATGATTATACTCCTGTAAACAGCGTCCGTTACCTCAGCTCTCCACACCCAACCTCCTCTATATTTACTGATATTTTACAGAGTGGATTTAATGCTCATACACATGTTATTAAAGGGGGTTAGCAAATGCTCAGGTGCTGCTTGGAGTCTTTGTGAACTTCCTCAAAGGCTTTTCTGCCCCCCAGTTTTTTTGATAACAACCACACGAATATATTTTTAATGACTCTACAGGTCTATTGTGTTGCTTCTAACGTTCTGTTTCCAGCTTCTCAGATGGGATGATTTTGCTGCTTGACTTTATCATATTATGGTAAATTGAGCATTTGATGCTTTTGGTCTGGAGCATTGGTCGCTGTCTCATCCTCTGGATGACCTTCAATTCTGCAGCCAGTAACGATCTGACGTTTTCTGCACTCCAAACTCAGTGAAGTGGAATTGCAGCATGTGAACCACTTCCCCACTTGCTGCAGGTTTTCGTTTGAGTGTCTCTCCAACACAAAATAAAGACTGCCAATGTCAAATGACTTGAGTTAGTCAAACTGTAGGATACAGTCCTTCCTAGAGGATGAGTGGATGATGGGTTCAATTCAATTCAATTCAATTTTATTTATATAGCGCCAAATCACAACATAAGTCGCTTCAAGGCTTGAATGTAGGGTTGAATGTAGTGTTAGGGTTTCTTATACAGACAACTTGGAGCCATTGAGCCATTGGTCAGCTCTCTGCTGTGATGTTAATTCATACTCATTGATAGCACTAAAGTGGTTTAATAAGTATAACTTCCTGACTATCTTAAGAGGACTGACTGCACTGACATTTGACAGAAGCAGTCACAGAAATATGACCGTGTGAACCGACCTGTGACCTGTGAGGTCTGACCGAGGGATGATTTGAATAAACGTTTTTATAACCCACAAGCTCTGTTAACCCACAACCCACCTTAGTCTTTTGGCTTGTACTATTTTAACAGTGCATCGGTGCAGGTGGGATGCAGTTAAATCCTCTGTACTATAAAGTTAAATGAACTTTTTACAGACTTTTAGCAAACTTAAGCTCGTTTACATCTACCGTCCCTGGGAAGACCAGATTATGTTTAAATATCTTTAATCACACTGTTATCAAGGTTGTAAGATATGAACAACATGGCTCACTTATGTTTACTACAATGTAGTACAATGTTTTTGTAAATACTACATACATAAAATGCATTTTATTTAGTATAATAAAATGGGAAATAAGTGCCGAGGTTGTACAATTGAATATGACAGCTATGACCACCTTTATTCTTTAACACAGCCTGAACTCTTAGTGGGTTTTTCCTTTTATTTCATTAAGTAGTCTTCAGTAATAGTTCTCCAGGCCTCTTGAAGGACATTCAGAGCTCTTCTTTGCTTCTTCTCTGCTTCAATATTGCTGATATCTGGGCTCTGGGGAGACCAATCCATGACTGATAGTGTTCCACTGTGTGTTTGTCTATCCAGACATGCTTTTACTGCACCAGCAGTGTGTTTCTAGTCATTGTCGTGCTGAAAAATAAAGCTGTTGCCAGTCACGTGTTTTCCAGATGCCTGGTGGATGAAAATTTGATGGTATTTTTTCATTGATTTTGACAAGATCCCCAACACCACTGGCTAAACTGCAGTCCCAAACCATGGCGGAGCCTCCAGTGTGTTTTACAGTCTG